AAGGCCATCTTACTGAAGAGAACACTTGGGAAGACCAAAAGGAGAGGCCCTAAGACTGCATGAAAAAGAGATGCCCAGCCAACCTCCAGCTATTCCAGTCCCAGGTTTTCAAGTGATTCCAGATGAGACACCAGACATTGCGGAGAAAGGAGACTATCCTTATCTAGCCCCTTCCTACATGGTAGATTCCCGAGCAAAACAAATGGTTGTTGTTCTTAGCCACCAGGTTTTGTGGCAGAGAAATATACAACCAGAGCAAATGCTGGCAGGGCAACTCAGGTCACATATTCTGACATTATTTGTATAGCTCCCCCCCAAAGGTTTGGACTCCAGCTCTTGCTCACCCAGATGGGTGGTGGTGCCCCTTTGTGGCAATGCCAGAGCTTTGTCTTCTTGCATGGTCTCAATTGTAAGGCTTGTTTTGCAGCCTCAAAATCAAGCTTTAGAAGCTGGTACTCTCCCCCAACTAGTGAATTTTGAGTTTGCAGAAAAGAGCTAAAACAGGGTTTGGCCGTGACATATGGGTATTCGACCCTATCCTCTGATGGGAAGAAGGAGGGCTGTTGCTTCCTCAAGAATATACGTGAAAAGCCACATATCCTGCTTCTCAATAATGATGGCTGATCCAGCCAGATTATCATACATTATCTCAAAATGGGATAAACACTGATGAGAACAGTATACTTGACGTTGCTTCCATCTGTGAGGAGGGATGACACCAGGAGGTGGTGCCAGGAAATTTTTCTTTAGTTTGCTCAAGAGCACATAAAACAGAAATGATTTTTGTGGAGCATAAAATCTTTTACCTTCTTATAGGAGGGAAACGATATGATAAAAATCCTGGTTTTTATAAACAATGAGGACTATGTCTATATAACAATGCAATGTTATTAGTATACATACTTAATTAGAACTAATAACAATATATCAGTTATAAATTATGGCATGTCCTCACCATACTTAGCAGCTAAGAGAAAGTATGGATTCTCAATTAATACTTACCCCAGTCTCTATCAACTTGGCAAACATCTCATGTGTTCCAAAAAAGTATTTTTTATTTATTTCTCAGACAAAAACTACTTATGGATGTATTCTTTTGAACATATCTTTTAAATGTGACCAACAATTTTTTTTTTGTTTCATGTCACTAGAAAAAAATGGTATTTTTAACTCCTGCCATGAAACTCACTTGCCCTTGTCCTCCAATGCTCAGTGTAAAGGTAATAAAGGTATAGAATTGTCACATAGACTTTATTTCTGACTTGAATAGAGATCTGCATTAAAATGTAGATATTATTACAGAAGGAACACCATTTTTAGGATTTTAAGTTTGTATACTGCATTGCTTTCTTATAACTGAAATGTAATATAGCTTCTCTGGTAACATTCTTTCTCACCATAGACAGAAGCAGAAAAATAAATCTCGTAAGACTTGATGACCATAAATACCCTACTTTATTATAATTTTTTTCCTCAACTGTAGCCCATTTCTTTTTTTTTTTTTTAAAGATTTTATTTATTTATTTGTCAGAGAGAGAAAGAGCATGAGCAGGGAGAGCAGTAGGGAGAGGGAGAAGCAGGCTCCCCGCCGAACAGGGAGCCCGACGCGGGACTCGATCCCAGGACCCCGGGATCATGACCCGAGCTGAAGGCAGACGCTTAACAGACTGAGCCACCCAGGCGCCCCTGTAGCCCATTTCTTAATATATAGTCATTCGGCTTTAAATTTATGTGCTTACTTTATTAAAATTATGTGTTAATTTTCTGTGTTCATGCAGTAAATCTTTGAAATAAATCAACATTAGGGAAATAATGCAGAACAAAATAAATCTCATCTGAGATGTTCTTACCAATTATTATTCTATATTCAGGCAGTGACCTCACTCTCATGGGTTTCACTTGCTTTATGGACAAAGAAATAGTCTTGACTAAGTTCAGTGGTTCTCACTCAGGGGTAATTTTGCCTCCAAAGAGACATTTGGCAATGTTTGGATACATTTAGTTGTCCTAGATAGGGAGGATGCGACTGTAATCTAGTGAATACAGATCAGGGATGCTGCTAAACACCCTAAAATGTACAGAATAAGCCTCTCTTCCTCCCCAATAAAGAAATATTGACCCAAAATGTCAATAGGAACTTGGGTTAGATAAACTCTAAATCATTTTATAGTTTACAAATACACCGCAGTCAAAAAATGGGCAGAAGACATGAATAGACATTTTTCCAAAGAAGACATACAGATGGCCAACAGACATATGAAAACATGCTCAACATCAGTGGTCATCAGGGAAATACAAATCAGAACTACAATGAGATATCACCTCAAACCTGTCGGAATGGCTAAAATCAACACTGCAAGAAAAAATAAGTGCTGACAAGGATATAGAGAAAGGAGAAACCTCTTGAACTATTGTTGAAAATGCAAACTGGGCCAGCCACTCTGGAAAATAGTATGGAGTTTCCTCAAAAAGTTAAAAATAGAACTATCCTATGACCCAGCATTTGCTCTACCAGGTATTTACCCAAAGAATACAAGAACACTAATTCAAAGGGATACGTGTACGCTGATGTTTATAGTAACAACATCAACAATAGCAAACTATGGAAACATCCCAAGTGTTCATCAACTGATGAATGGATAAAGAAGATGTGGTATATATATATATATATAATGGAATATTACTCAGCCATAAAAAAGAATGAAATCTTACCATTTTCAACAACATGGATGGAGTTAGAGAGTATTACACTAAGTGAAATATGTCAGTCAGAGAAAGACAAATACCATATGATTTCACTCACATGTGGAATTTAAAAAACAAAACAAAAAAAACAAAGAGAAAAAAAAGAGAGAAAGAAGCAAATCAAGAAATTACTCTGAACTATAGAGAACAAACTGATGGTTACCAGATGGGAGGTTGGGGGGGTGGTTAAATAGGGGTTATGGATTAAGAAGAGCACTTGCTCTGATGAGCACCGGGTGTTCTATGAATGTGTACATCACTATATTGTACACCTCAAATGAATATTACAGTGTATGTTAACTAACTGGAATTTAAACAAGAACTTAAAAAAAATAAAAACAATGACAGCAGCAACAACAAAACCAAATACATTGTAGTTTATTTATTTTAAAACTAACTTATTTTAGAAAATGAAAACAAGTTTCAGATTTAATAGGCCCTATTAAAGAACCTGATAATTTTTTTATGCAACCTTATATCCATAACACAATGGATGGTTGATGATAAGGAATCAGCTCATTTCACAATACTCCCATCAATGTTTTTTTAAAAGGAAATTTCACTAAAATTAAAAGAAAAATTCAAACTAGCCTATAAGTTTCAGAAACTGGTAAAAAAAAATAACAAATTAATGGCATCGTACTGTGTACTCGGGCAGTCTTCATAGTAGGACAGGTGTTTTAACATGCTGAAAGTCATTAATTTGAATATTGAGTTCTGCATTTTTGTTTTTTGGGTTTGGTGGGTTTTTTTTTTTTTTTTTGGTTTTGTTTTGTTTTGCTTTGCTTTTTTGCTTTTCGGCGGTATCTCAGACATTTGAAATGCTTCACAGATACTTTTGAAATGCCTAATTTCTTCTGGGAATCAAACCTTTATTGTTTCTTAAAATAAAATAGTAATATAATAGTAGAAAAATAATGAACAAGGGTATACCATTAGATTATAATTGGCAGTAAAAGCTTTACATGTATTCTAGGAGATTGATAACATATTTGATCATCTAATTCTCAAATCATACATATGCTAGTAGCTTTACATATATTAGTTCATTTACATATATTAGTTACATATATTAGTTTGAGGATTAAATAATCCTCAAAGCAAACCATGGTAATGGGAAATATCTTATTCTTGTCTTATCTCCATTTATAGGGTTACATCCAGTAAAAACTAATCCAGTCATTCATATTTTCATGCTTACTAGAAAATGCACAATATTATATATTCACAGGTACAAAATTTATTCCTTTAACTTTGTCAAGATAAAACAAAGGAAATGGAGACTGAAGGATCAAAATCAACTACAGAAAATGTCTGATAATTTAATCATCAAAAAGTGATCCCAGAGCAAGGAGTATTTATACTTTAGTTGGTTTGCATTGTCAATTTGCAGAATAAAATAATTAAAGCCATTGTTCACCTCTTCTTGAAGATAGGGACTCAAAGATTAATTCAGTAACATATGGTCAAATAATTAGTAATGAATACAGTTTATAATCTTGATGACCTTCACAAACTTGTTTGGTTTTCTCATGTACCCACTATGAATGGAACAGTAGAGGATCTCTTACACTAATCAATCTAGCCCAAAGAAAATCAGTGTGCTATAACTTCACTCTGTCCTAATATTAAAGAGACCATTGTTATGTGACTTCTATCTGATTTTCCAAGAACCAGTGAAACCACCATTGCTTATCATAAGTGATATTAAATGTCCCTGATGATAAATGTTCTGCAAGTGCAGAATCTAGACTCAGTTTCCCAAACAAAGAAAGCTACATTTAGTCACTCATCTTTCCATCCATTTATTCTACCTATTCATCCATTAAACACACATGTAATGAGAATGTGCCATATGTCCAATACTATATAGGAGTTGGAACAATAAACCAAGACACATATTCCCTGCTGACAAGGAGTTTCTAATATGGGTGGGTTGACAGATAATTCAACATATCTAACATGATAAAGAACATAATGAATCAATGCACAAAGTGTTTTGTGAACACTAATTGGAAAGCAATTATTATTACTTATTTTATTTTAAGTATATTTCACAGAGTAGAATAATTTTGGAGAGCACATTTCTGAATGAGAGGACAAAAGTATTTTAAAGTATTGAGGAGGAAAAGTTATATTTATTTCTGAAAAACTGTAATAAATTTCAAAGAGTTGACATACAAGGTGTTTATGGCATGATGATATTGGAAGGATAAGCTATATCTGGAATATTCTTAAATGTTTTAAATTCTTACTCATTTAAAAGTCCGGCTTTCTAATAGCTTTTTGAGGACGTTCTTTACATCCTTATTTCTGAAGCTGTAGATTACTGGGTTAAACATGGGAAAGACAACAGTATAAAATACGGCAACTACCTTGTCAGTGTCTAGGGAATAGCTGGTGGTGGGACGTAAGTACATAAACAGGAGCGTTCCGTAAAATAACGTGACCGCTATGAAATGGGAAGTACAGGTGGAGAATGTTTTGCTCCTGCCCCCTGAGGACTTAATGCTCAAAACAGTGATGAGGATACAGAAGTAAGAGATAAATATGACCACAAAAGTGCTGATCTGAATGAAGCCACACAAGGCAAAGAGCAAAAGCTCATTGATATGGGTATCTGCACATGATAAAGCCAGGAGAGGTGGGATATCACAGAAAAAATGATTAACAATATTGGAGCCACAAAATGGCAGCCTGAATGTGAGGCACACATGTACCAACGAAGTCATACTTCCACTGAAGTAGGCCAACACAATGGAGCAGATACAGACTCTCCTAGACATAAGTGTAGAATAGAGCAATGGGTTACAGATGGCTGCATAGCGATCATATGCCATTACTGCTAGAATAAGGCACTCAGCATCAGCAAAACAACCAAAGAAAAACATTTGTATTGCACAGCCATAGGAAGAGATGCTTTTCCGGGATGCTAAGAAATTCACCAACATTTTAGGGGCAATGGCTGAAGAATAGCAGATGTCTAAGAAAGACAAGTTGCTGAGGAAATAATACATGGGGGTTTGAAGGCTTAAACTGATATTAACTAGGATTATTAAACTCATATTTCCCACCAGAGTTAGTGTATAGACTATGAGAAATACCAAGAATAGTGTGACTCGGAGAGGAGATAATCTGTGAATCCAACAAGGAGAAACTCAGTTGGCATGGTACAATTGCTCTCCAACATCTTGGTTTTCTTGTTTTTCTTGTCCAAAATAGATGGTATCAGAATATGTGAGTTGACTTGAGTGATGTATGAAGCAAGAATATCTTTATTCTCCCTTTTAAGGAAGCAAATAGAAGGATAATAAAATCACAGCTATGACATTTTCTGTGATCTATTTGGTTTGTTTTCTTTTTTTGTCATTTTCTTTAAAAGAGGTAATTAAAAATCACTGATACCAGAGGATGTATTCTGAGTTGGTGTTCTGAGATGCAGTAACTCTCCAAAACCTGTGCATATTAAGAAATGAGATTAGTTCCTTTCAAGCTGAAAGGAAAGGAATGTGGTTTGGTTGATAAGATCTAGTAGAATTATGAAAGTTGGCAAAATCCCTAAAGCAAAGCTTTGTTTTTCCATCTTAAAATCACGTTCTTCCATGTAAAGGAAAGTTGAAAAAAATTCTAGGAAAAAAGTGCCCACAGATAAACTAGATAATTCTACAGAAGAATATCTGTGATCTTGGGAAGTAGTTTAACATAAAAGTTAAGACACAGAAGTTACTGTAAGAGATGACTAGGTTCAAATCTTAGCTTTGCTACTTACTGGTTGTGTGAGCTTGATAAAGTTATTTAACCACTCTGTGATGGCTAGAGGAATAAATGAGTAGATATTTGTAAAACATTTATGTTACTGGCATATAATAAACACTAATATGAGCATTTATTAAATAAAATGAATTAAAACAAATAAATTGACCTTTTTGTTTCTTTTTAATTGCTTACTAAATACTGAATTTTATTATTTATGTATGTATGTATGTATGTATGTATTTTTAAGTGGGCTCCCCACTGGGCATGGAGCCCAACGCAGGGCTTGAACTCACCACCTTGAGATCAAGACCTGAGCTGAAATCAAGAGTTGGAGGTTTGGCTGACTGAGCCACCAAGGCACCCCTCAATTTTATTTTTAATAAAATATTCAAGTGTCTCAAAATTCATCGTATCTTTGGCATCCTGGATATATGATCTGTGCTCTCTTGTAGAGAAAAGGCATTGTGTGTGTGTGTGTGTGTTCTATGCAAATATATTGTTTGGCAGTAGTAAATCTTTTACATATGTCCTATAATTATTGCTTTTGTCTCCCTGGACTTATGTCTCTATCTCACCTCTGAGGTAAGACAATGTCTGATGTGAGGTCCCTGAAACATAAAATGTCTTGAAGAACAACTATATCTCTGCACTTACTAGTGGACTTCTAAACTGGTTATATGAGAAAATATATGTTATATAACCAGAAGGAAATTAATCAAGGGAAAAAAATAGGATGAGTGCAAAGAAAAAATAAATTATAGCATGATGGAAGATATTCAGCAAGCAGTTAAAGATTAGTAATATTAGAGTAGCACTACAGTGAGCAATAAGGCAAATGAATAATGGAGGTCTATTCTGTCCACCATGCTTGCTAACTCAGAATTACCCCTCCCCCAACAAAATGACCTGCAATCTTCTAGAATCACTGAGAAGAGAGTCAGTCTTCTTTGGGAACCAGATCCTACAGAGGAAGATGTAAGGTGAGTGTCTGAAACTATGGTGAAGCAATCCAAACTCTTAAAATAAAGGAGAAAAAAGTGTTTACTTGGTTATGCAGTGCAAATGTCATTTGTAAGCTTTATATAACATTCACATTCTCACTTAAATCTGTCTTTTATTTTTTCTCTGAAGTTGTGGTTAAAAAATCAACTCAGTGATTAAAGTGGTTAAAGAATCTGCAATTAATTACTTGCTGTATAAACTTTAAATAAGGAGTTTGCACAGATTTAGTGGTTAAAGAATCAATTCAAAAATCATAAAAAAGGTTTCCTCTAAGTCATCTTTGTGAAATTTCTAACTAAAGAACTCACATTAAAGAATCAATTAAATAACAAAAGTGTACCAAATTTAGGAGATTTTATGCCATTGGTTCTCAGCGATTGTATCAGATGAGATCTAACTATTAACATCAGCTCGATTATAAGAGTAACAACAGTCTACACCGAGACCTCCAGATCATCACATTTGCCTGCTTATTGGGACTTGATTTGCAATCACTGGTACAGAAGAGTCTGCAACAAGGAAGATTAGCAAATTGTCCTGTAAGGCAAATGAGTCAGCATATTCCAGAGCTTCATGCTTACGTAGGAAATCTTCATCTTTGTTTGGAGATTAGTAATAGAAATTCTAAAATCAGGAAGTTTATCCAAATATGTTTTATTTTCTCGCTGGCAACACCAAAACAAATGGCACTGTGCAGGACTGCTTAAACACACAGGATTCAGAGGGAGGCAAAATTGATGTTAACCTCAGATGCGGCATCCAAGTTTCTGTAAGTCATTCAAGTTCAGTATCCCTAAATTTCTTGATTTTGTTTATTAGCATAATAATATTCCATAAGGTTGAAACCAGGATGAAACTGGATAATTTATAGCACCATTTGCAGAGCTTATTATATTATAGATACATAAAATGGAACCATTATTGTCTATAATTACTGTTAAGGGCATTACGATTGTTCAATAATTCAATATCTGACTTCAAAGTCATAAGTTCCTTGAATTGATGATTATAGGAACGAACACAGAGTAGTCATACTATAGATGAACATATGTATGTGCTCATAGCAAGTGAGATTTGGCTTACTGATGAGGGTTATTTAAGCTTACTCAATTAATTAGACCATTGGATTTCCCCAAATTCCAAAATAGGCACAGTTAGCTTTTGCCTCCTGGCAGTAAGGGGCTCAATGAATCAGGCAAGGCTTTTGGAAAATGCCAGGGGTAAGGTAAGGTCACATTTATGCCTTCACCATCCTCCATCCACTCCCCCAGTCCACACATACACACAAACCAAGAAAACACCGCAGAGAATCAGTGAACAAACCTTTTATCTAAGACAACATTATCTTTGTTACATTGTTGCATTCACAGCAGACAGTCACCTACCTTAGCACCATCCAGAATTTTGAATCAAGAATTTATTTTGTACAAGAGGTTGACAACCCTTCTCTCCAAATTTTACAGATGGGTCTTACATTGGATGACTATTTATCTTCTAGGCGGTGGCAAGTGGGACATGACCCCAAGATAATCCCCACCCCCAGGAGGACTTTGGATACACAGCTACTTCTTTTCCAGTGGTGTGGCTTGAATGGTTTATTTTAAATGAAAAAGATGAAAAATGGTAACAGAATGGACTATAATGTAGCCAGTCGCAACAAAACACATGTGTCCATCACTGGGAGATGTTTGATTAAAAAAAGAACAACAACAAAGACATTTTAGCAATATCAAACAATAAAAAAAATGCCTTCTCCTATAAATGCTATGACTTCTATCAGATACTGAAAGGTGCTTTAAAGCACAATCTCAATGTTATTGAGAAGAATCCCAAGCACCCTTTTTGTTTGGTTTTCAGTTATCTGAGTACAAGGAAATATGCCTTAAAAGATAAGCTGCAGGAGTGAGAGCTTATGTCTCAGGCAACCTCGATCTGAATGTTAGTTTTTCCATGTAACAACTGTGAGACACTAAGCTGCTTATTTAACCTGATTTTTGTTAATTTTTAAACCGTGAATAATAATTGCCCATCTCATCAGATTCTTGTTGGGATTGGGATAATGCACGTAAAACCTTGCCCCTTGTGCAGAAGGTTGTATTCATTTAATAACTGTTAGCTTTCTTTAACAATTATAGCAGCATTTACAGCAGCATTTCTTAGTACTTAAAATTCAGTTTCTGGGTTTTAACTTGTGAACATTGGTATAGAGTCTGTACCTTAAGGTAGACAGAAAGGAGAATGGGTAAGTCTGGGATGCCAGACATTGCAAACAACTGGCTTTCTTCTTATATCTAGTGGGAAAATTAAAATCATTTTTGTTGCTACTAGAGGGTTTCTTATTTAATAGGCGAAAGATCAATGTATTTAGAAAAAAGAAAAAGGTCATCTTTTGTTAACCAAAACAGCAATGTGTGTGAAGAATTAAGAGCCAGAAAAATACAGCTTAAAAATTTCTGAGAGGGGCAGCTGGGTGGCTCAGTCGTTAAGCGTCTGCCTTCTGCTCAGGTCATGATCCCAGGGTCTTGGGATCGAGCCCTGCATCAGGCTCCCTGGTCCGCGGGAAGCCTGCTTCTCCCTCTCCCACTCCCCCTGCTTGTGTTCCCTCTCTCGCTGTCTCTCTCTCTGTCAAATAAATAAATAAAATCTTTAAAAAAAATTTCTGGGAGAGAAGATGCCAAAATCATTGTTCTTCCTTTTTACCCCCTATTTCATTTAATAAACTTATGCATCTCATGAGAAAAAATAGAAAAATAGTTTAAAAAATAGTAGTCTCTTATTGTATTTTTAAAAGATGCGATTATAAAGACAAACTCCTTTTCTATAAGGAGTGTATGTTTGTTATTAAACACAAAGGTGGGGTGCCTGGGTGGCTCAGTTGGTTAAACGTCTGCCTTCGGCTGAGGTCATGATCTCCTGGTCCTGGAATCCAGCCTGCATCAGGCTCCCTGCTCAGTGGGAGTCTGTCTCTCTCTCTCCCTCCCTCTGCCCCTTCCCACCACTCTTTCTCTCTCTCATAAATAAATAAAATCTTAAAAAACAAACAAAAAAACCCTTCACTTTAAAGAGTACTCTCCCCTCTTACAGTGATATGGGAACCAACAACAGTAAAACAGCTCTGCTCATTGAAAGCAGAATATAGATTGGCACATGTTGAGATGAGCCCTGGGTGTTATATGCAACTACTGAATCATGGAACACTACATCAAAAACTAATGATGTACTGTATGGTGGCTAACTGAATATAATAATAAAATAAATAAATAAAAGAAAATGGATTGTCTAACTCCTTCAAAGTATAAGGAAGGTGGAGGACGAGTTGAGAAACTTGGCAGAAACCAAAGGAAATAGACGATGAGGACAGCAGCATAGAACAGTCTGCTTCATATCCGACAACTGCCAGATCCTTCCATTGTCAGCTGCTGTGAATAATCC